ACATACACCCCTCACACACAGACACACACAAATCTCTCTCAGACGTACATACACACCTCACACACAGACACACACACAATCTCTCATACCCAGAGGGAGAACACCCCCACCCATCCCCCAGAAATCTCACCCCCACACAAATCTCTCTCACACACATAACAGACAAACCTCCCTCACACACATTTCTCTCACACACAGAGAAATCCCACACACAGAGAGAAAAATCTCTCACCCACATACCAATCTCTCTCACCCAGGGACACACACCAATCTCTCACAAACAAACTCAAATGAAATGTTCTCTTCTCAGACTACAGAGCGCTCAGGGATGTCCCAGTCCCAGGGAAGGCATTTCCCTCACCACTGACCACTCTTCATCTTTTTACCTGGTTCCCAGCCATGATCACTATTTACTGACTACAGGACCAATGGAACAGGCTTCGCCAGCACCTTGCAGGATCGTGCCATGTCTAGGACTTGGTGTTTGCTCTGCAACATGAAAATATTTGCCTGGCTTCCCTAGCTGCAGATAGTTCATGTCATCAGACTGGTATTATGTAAGGCCCATTGCACCAGATCCAGAAGTAGAAGGGAATGTCAGAAAACTTGAAATGAAAAAAATATTACTTGTATCAGAGTTTAATGTGTGACAGAGGGTACAAGCAATTGTTGCTTTATTCAAATAGCAATGTTGCATCAGGCAGTTAACTAAGCCATGGGTTGAGATTTACAAATGCTCAGAAAGCACAATTGAGGCCAGATTAGGGGGAAAAAAAAAAAAATCAGCACCCAGCAGCTCCCATTGGCACACTTTGAGTGTTGTGCTTTTTTTTTTTAAATCTGGCCCATAAGTGTTATTTAAATGGTTAACGAAAAACAGAGCTAACATTACAAATATAAGCCATTAATCAGGAGTAGGACAGTTTGAAATAAAAATATTGTTGCAGTGTTTCCTAGAAGTGCTGTTTTATGTGCGATCACCACGCAGCTATGGCTTTTCAGCTTATTATCTTTATGACCAAACCAGTTAGTTTATGGCACTGTAAAAAGAAGTGGATCTAAAAAAAAGAACTTTCTGCTGCAAACTTCAGTTAACTTGTATATTTCATTTACAAAGACAAAGTAAATAGGAATCACACTGCTAATTGTGTTGTCAGTTTCAGATACCCAATTCTCTCTTTTTTCCACTGTAGCCACCTATGCTAGAAATGCCAGATCATATGAAATCTTGATTTTAGAATATCAAGCTGACTCCTCCCACGTCCTAAAACATGATGCTTTAAAACCCAAACATTGTTATTGGAGTTTAGTTGTTTCATTCAGCAGTTCTGATAACAATATTCAGCAAGTGTACACACACACACACCAAGTTTAGAGAGGTTTCTGCTATGTATAAGCTTGATGCCTTTGTGATTATATAGATATGGAGCTATAGTTATATCCATCCAGTTTATAATATACATTTTGGGGTAGTTTTGTGATATGTACAACCTCCTTATAGTAGTCACAAAGGCATCAAGCTTATACACTGCAGAAACCTCTCCAAAACAGAGTTTAAGGAGTGCTACATTTTTTTGTTTTTTATTGAAACAGATCTTTGTTTCGAAGCAATAAACATGCTTAATTAAACTTCATTCAGCTACAATACATTTTAAGTATAAACCCTCATTCAGAAATGTGCTGTTTCAACCTGCTGCTAAATATTGCTGATATTTATAAACATTATATTCATTTCTCCTAAACAAAAGACTAATTCTCAGTAGTTTAATTTTAGGATGCTGCTTCATCAGTGGTAAATTTAGTTCTTCACAAAGGCTTGAAAAAAACCACAGCTCACATTGGAAGGTAAAGCCTTAGTTGCAACTTGGGTTTTTTAAAACAGGTCAAATTCTTTGCTGTAGAACTGACTGCTGCAGAGTGAGGATTTTAGATAATAGAGGTTCAAGTGTAATCTTCCAACGTAAGTTTAAAAAAAAAAAAAAAAAAGATACTGGTCTTATCTCATGCAACTCATTTTATAATTACCCTAATGGAGTCATTACAAAGCCACATACACTTCATGTGATTAGCAGTCTCTGCTCAAGAGGGAGCTAGATGTGAAATGAGAGGTTTTGTAATCTGCAGGGAGATACACTGAGGCCTGGTCTACACTAACCCCCCAAGTCGAACTAAGGTACACAACTTCAGCTACGTGAATAACGTAGCTGAAGTCGACATACCTTAGTTCGAACTTACTGCGGTTCAGATGCGGTCCACACGCGGCAGGCAGGCTCCCCGTCGACTCCGCGGTACTCCTCTCGCCGAGCTGGAGTACCGCAGTCGACAGCGAGCACTTCCTGGTTCGACTTATCGCGTCCAGACCAGACGCGATAAGTCGAACCCAGAACTTCGATCCCCAGCCGCCGAACTAGCGGCTGGGTGTAGACCAGCCCTAAGTGAGCTTCTTCGGCACCTACCTGTACTATGCTGCCTCTAGCTGTATCTATTAGCTCTTCACTTTCCTCTGCACTAAATTTACACAAATCCACTTAAAATTTGGTTTTCTTTGATATGTAATTATTAAAACTCCATCTCAAGTGGGATATAAAGGAGTTTCTACTGTATGTAAAATACTAAGTCATCCAGAAGCACTTTTCTAATATTGTAGAGTTTATTCAAGTCTTAATGGTTTTGCTTTGGAACAGCATATTATTCACTGGTTTTATTGTTCAGTTCAGCGATGCTGACTGTAAATGTTTTATTACATTCCTTTTCTTTCACTGATTTTGATTCATTAGTATGACACACGTGAACCAAGTTAGAAGTTTAAATAATAATACCCATTCTATTAATATATCTTTTCCTCAGCTTTGTGTACCATGCCCTGCTAGTTAATGGAATTACATACTTATGTGCTACAAACAACACCTTAGACAGCACAGGACCATTTGCCTTTCTTAAAGAGGTAAGAAATTTTTTTTTTCAGAATATGTTGATGCAAGTTTAATCAAAGCCATTGACTTACTAATGTTTTGCAATGTTCCATTCTTGCCCTTTGGTCTACATTGATTATTACATGCACAGTAAGATCAATACATGTCAGCCTTCTTCAGCTTTATAAAATAGAAGTATTTAGGGTGAGCAGATGTCCCGATTTTATTGGGACAGTCCCGATTTTTGGGTCTTTTTCTTATATAGGCTCCTATTACCCCCCTACACCCCCATCCCGATTTTTCACATTTGCTATCTGGTCACCCTAGAAGTATTGCTTCATATAATGCATTTGTTTAACATCCCTGTTCTTGTGCTTCAAAGGCCTTGTGTTATAGAAATACTATTAGGTGTAGTACCAGCTTTAGGTTTAAAAGAGTCTCTTTTTCCTCTCATGATACCATCATCATAGGAAATGTGTGTCCATGCCTTCTAATAAAAAAAGGGTATGGGTAATGCTGGTGTGCTAGGTATAAAAGGAGACTTAGCCATATGGGACAGGAGAATTTTAATTACCACTATGGCAACACAAGAAATGTACCAGTGCATTTGTAACACTGAAAGGCACCCTAGCATGTATTCAATTGGTCCTATGTACTGTATGTTGTATTTTGCCTTATTGAAATGTCACTGTTTTCAGCTTGCCAGCACTCACTGGCAGGCCTAGAATGAAAAGCAAGTAATGTTCTCTTCAAAAAAGTAAAGCTAATTTGGTCTGTTCTCCTGCAATCAGGGCCGGCTCCAGGCACCAGCTTAACAAGCAGGTGCTTGGGGCGGCCAAGGGAGAGGGGAGGCACCTGCGGCAATTCGGGGGCGGCAGGTCCCTCACTCCCTCTAGGAGCGAAGGACCTGCCGCTGAACTGCCGCCACCAATCACAGCTTTTTTTTTTTTTTTTCCCAACTGCCGATTGCGGCTTTTTATTTATTTTTTTTTTGCTTGGGGCGGCAGAAATGCTGGAGCCGGCCCTGCCTACAATTACTGCTTTCCTATATGACCTTCAGCTCTTTTTTCTCTCTCCTGTCCACCCTGCCATGCTATCTTCGGGTATGAAGAATAAGGACAAATTTCAGTCTGCTTTCCCGCTCCTTCTCTCATACCTATTTTATTGTGTTCTGTTTAGGTTTCTACACCTTGTCTGTCACCAGGGCATTACATGGCTACTCTTTCCTTATCCTCAGCTTTGTGTTTTTAAGTGCAGTAAATGGGTTCACCTTAGCAATGCATCCACATAAGTGACAGTTGTATAGCCTGTAACGAGTGCCAATTGTATTGTAGATACAAAATATTAGATGTTTTCTACACACTGATGTCTTTAAGCTTCTGCAGAAATTTTGTGGCTACACACATCCATGCATTTGTGCAGCATAGTTAAAGAACATTAGGCAAGTTTGCATATAGGGGTCATGTTGGCTATTTACATTTTTAGGGCATCATAACAGATTTTAGCCTGAATTTAAGAAGTTAGTGTGACACATTTTAGTTTAGCTATGTCAAGATAATTCCTTCATTCATTTCTCCAGATTTGCAAAGCTTTCATTGGTAGCCCCTTGATATCGCAAGTGACCTTTGCTCATCCATTTGAATTCAACGCAGATTTTCAACAGGTGCTGGGGAAATACATGGTAGGTAATTCTCAAAATTATAAAATCAAGTTTACGTCTATGGCTGCTACACAACGTTAGAGAAAGGACCTTTTGTAGTCTACCTTGGCAGAGCACATGCAAGGGAAAAAAGAATTCACAAACATTTATTTAGGGATCTGATCTCTCAATAAAAGAACTATTGTCTTTCTTTGCCAGAACAGCAAGTTATTGTGGTTTTTATATATATATATAAATATTTCTTGTCTAGAAAATCTAGTTAATATTTAACTAGAACTTTAAACAGTCCTTTTCCACTGCGTCATCTGATCACACACACATATCTTACAAAGAGCAGAGGAAGAGAAAGAGAGGGAGAGATGTGTGCATGGTAAGTATTTAAAATGCAATCTTTGATCTTTTAGGTGTGTTTGAGTAAAACAGAATTACCCTATGATCAATGTAATAAATTTAAGTTACTGGGACAAGAAACTATTAAAAGGTTTTAAAATCAGCATTGCACTGCAATCAAGGGGGGCGGGGGGCGTTGATCAGTAACACCTTAGTGAAAGAATCACTAATCTCAACTGAGAATCTGTTATTACTTTCAAGGGAGATTAATTGTACCTAGCATGCTTAGAAATAGATTCCCTCCTACTGTATTGTTCAGGTAGCATTTTGGAAATTGCACTTCTCCCCCCTTCACCCCCCCCCAAGAAACTCCTATTAATTTGCTAGAGTTTTTCAAATATAGAGAGTTTATCAAGTACTGTACAGTTCCTAAATGTACTCGATGAAATTATATTTTTAGTACCTGAATGCATGAAGATACAGTGTGGAGTTTATACTGTTGTTACAAAGTCTCATATTTTATTCTGTGTCAAATTGATCAAATTTTCAACACTGTGGGCCAGATTGTCATCTCTGCAGGTAAAAACTAGCAGAGGACTTTAAATTCTGGAATTCCCACTCAGTTTCCTCATTAGCATTCCATTACTTGAGGGGCCCTTCAAACCTATGGATTCCCCATGTTCTTTACAGAGGTCCTTAAGGTATGTGTATTGCTTCTTGGCCTTGGCCCCTACATTCCATGGCAGCAAGGCTTCCTATCTGCCTCCATCCCGAAAAGCACTTTGAAATCCTCAGTTAGACTGCACTGTAAGTGTAATATATAAATGGGGATGGGGCACTACACACAGCAGTGATGAGATCAGCATTAGTTTACACAAAGTTGGGGGAAGAAATGTTATAGATGGTATCTTACCACCTCAGAACCTTCCTATAAGCCCATTGAGTGATTTCCACTCAGATAGAAGAGAAAGGGCTTTCCATCCCCTCTTCCATATGCAACATGCACTGGTCCTAGATCCCCTCCTTTCTAGGAAGAAGACAGGGCAATCTAGCCCATTATTTTCATCATTCAAAAACCCTGCTGATTAACAACAGGATTTACATTTTTTAATTCAAAACTAATACTGCATACACACATGCAGAATAGGCTTACATTCTGAGAATTTAGGCATGCAAATATAGGTTGGTATGAAGTAGGGAACACATTAGTTTTAATGCCTTCACAACTTATATTGCCAACTATCAGTATGTTTATTGCATTACTGGAAAAATCATTGGGAGCCCTCTAGCGGCCAAAGTTATAGTGTCACAATCCTGCAGTTATGCACATGCCTAACTTTAAAAGCATCAGTAGCCCTGTTGATTTAAATACAACTTCGCACATGCCCAAGGTCTCAATCCTGCAATTAATGCTGTGCCATCAAACTCCTGCTCCCCCACAGATTCTCTAGGAAATCGGTGGGGCTCCACTAGGGTTGCCAGTTTTGGTTGGACGTATTCCTGGAGGTTTCATTTTAATTAATCTTTAATTCCTGGAGACTCCAGGACAATCCTGGAGGGTTGGCAACCTTCGGCTCTGCACAAGTACAGTGATCTACCCGTAAAGAGTGTTTTGCAGGCTTTGGGCCTAAATTTCCATACTGCTTAGAATAGCTATCAAGCCAGAAACAAAAAACAAATAGTAGAAATCAAAAGCTTTCACACTGTTCTTAATGATCATTCAAATATCACCCCAAAAGAGAAAGCAACCATTTTATGCATGGAATATTTTGAATCCAGAGGATCTCTCTCTGAACTGTGAAGAAGCCCATTCTAAAATGTGTTGGATAAAAAAAGCTAAATCTTGTAGTACAGTCATATTAATGGCTTACTTCTTCCATGTGATTAAAATTAAATTAATATAGGACTCAAACTAAAATCCATTAAATATCAGTTAGAATATATGGCTTCTCAAATGTCTCCTATAACAAGAAGACAGGCTCCCTGCCTGAACATTGCTCTCTAGCAGACTGTTTGGAGCACTGTTCGCTACTACAAGCTTTTCTTACAGAAATGAACTGGTACACAAAATCCTCCTACCTTACTGCAGAGAGGAAAAAAATCCTATTCTTTCATCAAGGCCTGGAAAAACAACCAAGACCTGTGGTCAGGGTGTGGTAGATATTGGAATTCTGGGTAAGCCTTCCCTCAGGGGTTTGTTGACACTTCATTTTATAAAGGGAGGTATCTAAAGTAGAACTAAAAGTAATGCTTTGCCAAACATGTATTTGAGCCTCCTTATTCTCTGGAGAAGAGGGAAGGTATTAAAGGTTTAGGTTTGGAAAACATTTATGTCTTATTCCTTTGGGGCAAGTAGTAGATGTAAAGGGTAATATAGTCACATGGAGTGCAGAAATTGTCAGAAGATTCCATTTTTGCTTTACCTTTGATCAAAAGGAAATTATGTAGCTGCAATTGTTGTTCTCAGAAAGTAGCAAATAATTCCTTCTCCTCCCCTCAACTTCCCTATAGTGGTGGGGTCATGATGGTTCTTTGTTACTTTATATTTTTTAAAATAATGTCCAATGGTTGAGTCAGTTACTGGCAAGGATTAATGGCCAGTAAGTAGGGGTATGCCAGCTGCTGGTGAGGTGCTTTAACAGTTCAGCATTTGGAGCTGCTAAAATTCTGCAAATAGTCATGTATATAAAGCTTGGAGCCCTGGGTGGGGATCTTTTAGAACTACTATATTCCATTTACAACAGTTACAGGGAAATTACTTTCTTTGTGTAAAGACAATGTGTATTATCTAAAAAAGTGTTAATCATTTACTTACTCTCTAAATAAGGGTTATTATTCAATTAGCCTGGTGTGAATAGGAAACAAAAGTCAGCAGTACATCAATATCTGATTGAGGGCTATGTTATCCCATTTGCTGGGGGTGGAGGAATATCACGTAATAGCAATAGGAAGCCCCTAGTGGACTTCATAGAGTGGGGTGTTTTGTTAAATCATTGACCCCTGGGTTTCTGCAATCCAGAAGGATTCAGATATACTAGAAATTTTTTTAACTAGTAAGAAAACTTACAGTGTAGAGAAGACTGAAGAGTTCTCTGAAAGTATTACCAGCCCCTCCTCTTGAAGGTGACCTGCACAGGATATTTAAACACTGGTTGTCTCCTTTTTTCCTTTCTTCTGTCAATAAAAAGGGCATTAAGGCTTTTTTGTTATTAATTTAAAAAAAAAGGGGGGGGGGACATGGAATGTTGTTCTGCTTGTTTCTTACTCTTAAAAGCATCAGGAATGTCATCTCTAGTCTTGCTGGAAGATGTAGAGGAGGTATATTGTGAACTTAATACCTTGAATCAAAGGGGTTTGCCAGTTGAACATTTAAGATATCTTTCCCTGGTTGAGCTGCCACCCACCTCCCCACCAATAACTTAAAAAAGAAAGGTTGGGGGAGTTATGTATCATAAAAAAGCAAAAATGGGCATGAGCACAGTATCTTTTTTTCCATGGCAGGAAACCTGTAAGCAATTGGATAATTGTATAAGGGGACAGGTGAGGATGTAATTGACTAGATTTGGAAGCTCCACTCTAATTCAGTTTTTCAAAACTGTAGGGTAAATCTTCACAAGTACTGTTAATTGGAGTTATATGGCTAACAGCCTGCTCCGAGAGAGTAGTGCTCCAAAATTGGAGATTGTGTTTTGTGTTTCCAGCTGTTTTAATTACTGAAAGTTAGTGAAGTAGCATCTGTAACAAAAACCCTTATTTCTTCTGTGCAGATGGAGTACAATAGGAAGTCAGATGACATTATAATTTCTACCCTGCAAATTCAAGTTGATGATGTCAAAAATGTTATCACCCAAAATGTTGATAAGGTTTTGCAAAGAGCAGAAAAGCTGAGTGACCTTGCTGACAGAACAGATGATCTCCAAATAGCGGTAAATTTCATGACTTCTCATTCAACTTAGGTATTTGGCTGACTCCTTTATTTCTCTGCATTTGTTCTACAGCTTCCTAGCAGTCTTTGTATTAGAATAATTGTGTGGCATTTTCAAAAGTGCCTAAGCACTTGTGGAACTTCTGAAAATTCTACTCATTGTTCCTACACCCAGATTCTGATCTCAGAGGTATCCATGTATCATTCTAATATCCATACCTGTGGGAAGATTTGGCCATTAGCCACAAAGGAAACTTCGACTCAGCATACCAAGTAGCCGTTAGGCGATAAGGCTACCTATACAATGCATGGGGAGAGTTAGGCATGTCTGAATGGGATTCATACAAGCCAGCACAGCACTGGTCCCTGAGCAGGGAGCCAACTAAACTAAGAAACAGGAAATGCTGAGGAAAGAGGTGGGGCCTCTGAGCATATTAGTAGATTGGGCCCAGCAGGTGAATAGGTGGGGCAAGCCTAGTTTGAGGATCATGCTAGTGCTTAGGCAGGTTTGTGGATGCTTAGTTGGCAGCTGAGCAGGGGTCTTAAGTATCTAAATTTTGGACTTAAGTGCCTAAATCCCTCTAGCCCTTAGTAACTATAGGCCCAATCCTGCAACTGAATCAATGCAGGTGGACCCCGTGCCACACAGAACAGAGGGCCACCTGCAGGAACTGGGCTTGACCAAAAATTGATCTCTACTGCTAATGGAGGAACTATAGAGGGGAAAGAACATGTTACAAATATCAACAACACTGATACATCTTTATATGAGTAGAGTGGTTACACTAAAGTATTAGCATGCTATTGTGTGAAACAACTACTGCATCTTTCCAGTCAGGTTGAATATGTACAACTAAATAGTTGGGGTTTTAAAAACTATAATATGTAAATACTGTCTAAATAGGCCCACATAGGAAGAGGTAAAATTTAGAAGCCAAGAGCAAATTAGAGAACAACATAAGAGCTTAACTGAACTGCGTGCAGTAGGAGCACTAAAGTTCTGTAGAATTCTACCCCTAAAATCCTCTAGTAGATTATCAAGTGTTCCAGTGCTTGGCTGTTAACAGTTTATAAACACCACTATCACAGTGGCTAGTCATGGCCCAAGACTAGGAACCTGTTTCTATCAGCATCTACAACTGTCATTTCTAAATTAATCCTTTTTATTGATGCTGCACAAGATCAGAGTTATTGGGAGAGGAAACAGAACCCCCCCAAAGCTTTGCCTCAAACCTTCATTTTGATTGCATTACCCATTCTCTCCCTACCTGATCTCTGGCAATGATAAGTAGGAGAGAGGGGATTGTGAAAGAGTAAAGTGAATATTAACCATGCTGTCATGTTAAAAATAGTATATAGCAGATAAAATTCATATCTAAAAAGCATGAACTCAATTGAATTAACAGTTTATATCCATTCATACTGTTAGCAATGTAAATATACTGGTAGGCCTACTTCTTTTTCACCACCACCAAGTCTTCTTGGGATGAAACTCCACAGTTCATAAAATAGCATTTACTTTACATCATAAGTATAAATTATCTTCTACATTCTTGAAGACATTTAACATGCAGTTTAATCTTGTGTGATGATGCTCCGTAAATCCAGTTCCTGAAACATTAACTTCATATTCGTCATTTTGTTTTCAGGCTCATTCTTTCCAAAAAACCACCAAAAAGATTTCCAGGAAGATGTGGTGGAAAAATGCCAAAATGATGATAATTATTGGAGTCATTCTACTTATTATTTTAATATTTATCATTCTCCTAGCTACAGGTGTTATTCCAACATAAACTTTTAAATTTTTTTTTTGCTAAGCACACAATTTTTATAAATTGTATTTTAAAATTATTCTAGAGCACAAATATTTACAGTGTCATTTTGTATATTGTTCAAAAACTACTGAACCATTAACAACTGGTTGCTTGCATTCTTTAAAGTAATCTACTACAGTATTTTCATCCAAACGGAGTGTGTAGGGTGTCATTTTCTCCACTCTTGATGTAGTGAAACAGATGCAGAGAGGTTAAGTGATGTTTAAACCACAGGCTGTAGTAATGGATTGCTTAACTATTAGCTCACATGCACACATGAGTAATTGAGAATTTTGAATGTATGAGTGTCATAACTCTGCCGTAGCTATATTTTCCAGTGAGAGTCTTCATTGTACAGCTGGGGAAATAACGGTCAGAGAGCAAGTCAATGTCAGAAGCAGGATTGGAACTCACAGCTCCTTAATCCTAATCCATGATTTTGGCCTCTGTGCAAATCACCCTAACCTCGCCAGCTCTTGGATTTTTCGCTTCTCTCATTGAAATGTAGTTTATGAAACTGAAGGTGACTAATCTAAACTTTGGAGGAACTGAAGTCCTGCACAAATTGGAAAAATGTCACATGATCTTTTGATTGCATCTTGCCCTACTACAGCTCTATTTCATTTACCTGCCTGAATCTGTGCATTTCTAAGAGGGTCAAGAAGTGGTGGGGGTTGGCATAGGTGATTTGCTGGAGAAGGCAGTTATGGCCAAATGACCCCACCCTGCCTTCTGTACTTCCCACCTCCTGTCCACTGCAGTTGGGGATTTCAAAGCTGTCTGCAGGATGAGAGCACCAGCCATAGGATAGCTGCCTGGACCCCCCCACTTCTTGGATTGGGCCCCATTCTCACTGGTCGCTCTCCCATTGATGCAGGATGGTGATGGGTATTTGCTAACACTTCACCCCTCTGTGGCAGCTGCTGGGCTGGATTCTGCTCCTTGCTGATGCAACCAGGAAGACTCTAGTTTACCTACAGGTTCCTAAACTGTGGGTGACAGCACTTGCTGATGATTTGCAGAGCCGAGAGACCCAAGGGGAAAGCTCTCCTCCTCTTTTCCAGCTGCAGCCCTGAGATGAATGACAGCTAAAGATACATTTCCACAGAATCAACTGCAGTCATAGCCACAAGGATGTTGCGTGAGCATGAATACAACAGAAGTGTACACGAGACACTGTTAAGATGGTAGTCAATACTGTGAAAGGTTCCCTCTCAGATATGGGGGCAGAGATAATTCCTGATTTGGACAGGGGCCTCACAAGAGGCCCTCTGCCCCCATCCCCACAAACCTGATATTATGAATGGACAGTTATTGACAACGACCCTCGTTTAAAAAGAAAAAAGTGGGTCAAAGAAAAATTGAGCAACTACCATTTAAGGATCTGTCCTCAGATGTAGATTATATATAATTTAAACATACCTATATTAAGGATTTAAACAGCTTCCAGGCTTGACCACTTACCCCTAATGTAACATCCACTCACTGGAGTAGGAGCATAGCTAGGCTGTCCAGTAGTGTATTTTCTTTTTAGATCACCATCTGATCGTCATCTTGCATGAGGCCTCATTGCTTTACATAGATTTGCTTTAGTTTCCTATTCATGGAGGTAATTTGCATGCCTAGTGAGGGACTGGAGAGAAATATGACTGGCTCTTCGCTCAGCACTAAACGGAAGAGGGAAATGATACTTGTGACAAGCTTTCCTTTTCTCCCCCACCACTATTCAACACCTGCACATGATGGAACTATCTACAGCTACACTAATTTGGTCTACTACTAGCTCCCCCACTCATGCACTCATCCACAATGCACCATCTCTATATTACATGTGGTGGTGGTGTAGTTGTGTTGATCCCAGATATGAGACAAGATCGCTGAGTTAATATCTTTTATTGGACCAGCTTCTGTTGGTGAGAGACAAACTTTCGAGTTTACACAGAACTCTTCTTCAGATCTGGGAAACATAATCTGAGTGTCACAGCTAACTACAAGGTGGAACAGATTGTTTAGCATAAGTAGTTAATGGATTTCAACAGAATATTCAAGGTCAAGCGGCCACTTAACACTTGTCCAGTCACAGGGGGTAAAAAGGAGGGGGGGAAAAAACTGAGTGGGGGTTTAGTGGGTTACAGATTATTGTAATAAGCCATAAATCCAAGAAGCTGGTTGACCATACCAACTTTACCACCTTAAGAAAAAAATTTCTGGACAAATACACCACAAAAATCAGTGATATACTGGATGTTGATATTTTCATCCTCTCGACAGATGACCTAACTCCCTCAGATTTCCACCACAACTTCAACCACCACTACCCACCTCTCTAACTCTCTCTAGAACACTCCTATAGCATTAACTTCCTGGATAACATGATCAGCTTCATCCATGGAACCTTACAGACAACTATATACCAAAAACCCACAGATCATCCTTCTCTTCAGAGATCCAGTAACCACCCTAAACAAACCCAGAAATCTGTTATCTATAGCTAGATACCACAGAATATGCTCTGAGGAGAATGTCTGGGATATACACCTTAAAATAATCAAAACCGCCTTCACCAAATGAGGACACTCTCCCAGAGAAGTAGATTGCAGCCTGGAACAGGCCACCCAACTACCCCAAGAGAACCTGCTTCAATACAGAAATAAAACCCCCTCTGATCACACCCCCCTAGTTGTCACCTACAATCTCACACTGGAACCCATACAGGGTATCATTAAACAATTACAACTTATACTTAATGGGGGAACACATCCTGAAATAAATCTTTCATGAACCCCCTCTTCTAGCCTTCCAACAACCCTGCAACCTCTCCACGCTCATTCTCAGAAGCTCCCCACTGACCAGAACATACCAACTCAAAGCAGCACCAGACTCTGCCAAAACAGATGAAAAACCTGTAGCCATATCTCCACTGCTATGATGATCAACACCCCCCCCCCAATCACACCTTTCAAGATCCATGGGTCCTACACATGCCTATCACAATGTGGTGTGTGTCATCCAGTGCACTAAATGCCCCCCAAACAACTATGTGCGTGAAATGAGAATCACTGCACTCTCAAATGAACTCAGAAAAATTATAAGACAAAAACATTGCATCACTCACTGACCTCTCAGTCCTCATCCTCAAAGGAAACCTGCACAACACTTTCAAAAGACAAGCCTGGGAGCTTAAATTAATCTTTGCTAGACTCTAAAAATCATGGCCTGAGTAGAGAAATTGGATTTATGGCTTATTACAACACACTAAGCACTCCCCCCTCCCCCCCCCCAACACCTTCACATGACTGGAGAGGTATTAAACTGGCCACTTCACCTTAAATGGTTCCTTGAAATGTGGTAACTACTTATGCTAAACCAGCGGTTCTCAGACTTGTACTGGTGACCCCTTTCACATAGCAAGCCTCTGAGTGCGACCCCCCTTATACATTAAACACATTTGTTTATATATTTAACACCATTATAAATGCTGGAGGCAAAGCAGGGTTTGGGGTGGAGGCTGACAGCTTACGACCCCCTATGTAATAGCCTTGCGACCCCCTGAGGGGTCCCAACCCCAGTTTGAGAACCCCTGTGCTAAACAATCTGTTCCACCTTGTATTTAGCTGTAACAGTTTCCCAGCTCTGTGTAAGCTCGAAAGTGTGCCTCTCTCACCAATAGAAGTTGGTCCAATATTACCTCACCCATCTTGTCCCTTTCTATATTGATTTCTTTTTTAAAATGTGATACACTGAACTCTATATGATCTGTAAGGGAACAGCCTGTCTTGCTGCAGCTAGCACACCACTGCTACTGCCGGACACTCCCTAATCCCCTCCACTCAATTGTATTTAAGGAGGAGCTACATAAATAGAACGATGCTGTTTTCTGGCACTTACAGCCACAGCAGTGCTCACAGTGCAGGGAATGTTGTTTGACTGAACAACTTAGCACATACAAGACAATACCCAATACAGCCCTCACTACAGCCTTTACTCTAATGTGGCTACACTTGCAGATGTAGAGCACTTTTGAGTTAAATCAGCCTTCGGAGAGCGCAGTAGGGAAAGCGGTGCAGTCTGTCCACACTGACAGCTGCCAGTGCACTGACGGGGCCACATTTGCAGCACTTGCAGCAGCATCGGGAGTGTGCATTATGGGCAGCTATCCCAGCATGCAAGTGACTGCAACGTGCTCTTAGCGTGATAGGGAGTGTGTTGTGTGTATGTGGGGGGAGAGAGAGTGGGTTTTTGGGGGGCTGAGAGCATGTCAGCATGCTGTCTTGTAAGTTCAGACTCACACACAGCATTCCACAGTAATGGTTGCTTTGTCTCAGAGCAGATAAGCAGCCGGCTGTCAGAAACTGAGCTTTCAAAGGGCATATCGGCGTTCCTACAGTGATTCAAAAACAATGACAAGAGTGGCCACTTGACGCAAGGGGATTATGGGACGTTTCTGGAAGCTGATCAGAGCGTAGTAATGCAACACTTCGTTCACACTGACACCCGGGCGTTGTAGCCAAGGCGCAGCAAACGTTATTCCACTCACCGAGGTGGAGTACCAGGAGCGCTCTGGCTGAGGAGTCAGAGCGCTCTACGTGCCTTGCCCGTGTGGACGGGTCAGGAGTTAGGGCGCCCGGGGCTGCTTTAATGCGCTGTAACTCACAAGTGTAGCCAAGCCCTTTGTGGGGTTTTGTTACCTCATATCAACCAACAACTCTATTTACAAGAAGATTGCAACGTGCCAGATCTGATAGTAAATACTGGGTTGGCCTTTTTCAAGTGCTTATTGTTGCCAATATACCTGTTCTGTTTATGACTAGGTCAGGCCTCACCTACTTCTCCTGAACTAAATGCTAGTAATATGTATATCTGACATACAAAACAGCAAGAGGACAATGTAGCCTTTCCCTTTAAGAGTTATCCTTTATCCTAGCTCTTCTCTTAAATGGAAACAAACAGCTGTATTATATTTCTAATAAATGTTTTAACAGATTTGGGGAAAAATAGAGAGTCCCTATTACCAATATCTAAAGTGTCACATCAAAAATTCTTCATCATTCATTGTTAAATAGAAAATTGACAAACAAAAAACTATACAACCTCCAGCTACGCTATTGCAAGGAGTTTCTGGGCAATTGAACTGTGCAG